AGTCAACTGAAATTAATGAAGATGAACTTAAATATGCTCTTTCATTCTCGCTTTGCCAAGTGAGGTACTTTCATTTGTAATGAGAGCAGGACAAGTAGGGGTTTCGAAGGAGTATGACTGCTGAGCCAACTTCCCTTTACAATCGATTTGATCATGGATCCGAACCATCTCCTAAAAAATCGTACTGGAAAGCGGCAAAGACGCATAATTTCAGCTTTTTCGAAAGACCGACACATCCGACACTCATCCGACTTGGATTGCAATTTCGCAGAACCAAAAAAATGTCGTTGGAAAAACATGGAAAACAGATTGGGATTCGACTCACTCGACTTTTATCTCTTCGAGAAAATCGATTTCACCGAGTTTCCGGCGCTGCGAGTTGGACCAGGCCCTACGAAGGTCCTCCAAGGTTAGCATACATAGGTCCAAGTCCATGATATGTATCTAGAGCAGCTCATTTTTGAATAAGAATCGAGCTAACATAAGAGCATAGTTCTAGAAGGTGTGATTCAGGAGAAAAGATGATTTTTACTGGTGACAAAAAGAGAGAGGAACAGTCAGCTATATACATTTCCTCGCCGATTGGCTGCCAAAATGCTACCGGAAATCTCACTTTCACGTAGGTTCCTTCCCCTTCAGTGCTCTATTAACGAGTCCGCCCAGAGCAAAACGATTGCAGATATTGGGCATACAACAGCGCTCAAGTGGAGATCGTACTATTTGAAGACCGACCTGGTGGAGATTACAAAATGCTTTACGAGAAACCCTACGTGGATTGCGGTAAGTCACCTTCACCTCCCCTCTACCCTTTATGAGCCCCTTCTCCGGCAGCTTTCCCATACTTTTCTCCCAGTGAAGAGCGAGCAGCTTTAATGTCCTGGTATAACAATTCAAAACCAAAGAGGTGGGAGTAACCGTGAACGCTGTTCGGATTTTTTTCTCTTAGAAAATTCCCTTATGTTACACTTGCCTCGGCCATGATTAGTCTCTTATAAGTGTACAGAGCCCAAAGCTGGGCATCTTCGAAAAAGTGGCATCATTCTGAATTTTCCTTATTGTTAGAAGCATTTCTGGCTACGAAAAGCAGAGGGTCAGCTGATGTAGTGGATGACGCAATCAACAACTCTTCGACGCCCCTTACACCTTGGGATCTGTAGTTGCCCAGTCTTTTGTTTCATGTATTTTCCATGCTTTCCTGGTAATCACGAGAGTGAGGAATCCTTTCGAAGGTGTTGTCCGGTCCCTACCATGCAGAAGGTTCAAACCGTAGTCAACGGTGGAAAGATTGATTCAATCCAGCTGTACCACATAGCAGGAACCCCGTGGTAGACAAATGAAATCATAACTGGAATTCGGCCTCTCTCAAGACTCCCTATCCTTTCTTTATGCGAATTCCTCAAGGGGTTTTCTAAATAGATTGCAGGCGCCTTCAATTTTCTAGATATTTCTGAAGTTCATCCAAAAAGTGAATTCAAATGAATTCCACCAAACAGCTGTTGTTGGCTCATTAGGGGCCTAAGGAGACAAAACCTAAGAGCGGGAAAGTGGGATACCGTCTTCGCAGGAGTTAGGTATCTATGCAAGCATGAAAACTTCGAGTCTTTATAAGCGCGACTCGAAGTAACTGGTAGTGGGTAATAAACCGGTTTGCTCAAACCCTACCAAGCAACTTCCATGACAGGTCCCCCCGCTGGGCTGGAAGAGTTGTCACCTGACGACTATAACCCAGGCAGCGAACCCCGCTGTACCTCCTGTTCTGTAGCAGTGCTATAGTAGCAACTCAACACAGGGTGTAACATGACGTTTGTGGTAACACAATCGATTTACCTTACGAATTCGTGGGGGCAAATCAATCATGATAAGCAACACGGGACAGGGAAAGTAGTGATTGGACGGGATAACTACTCCAACAGTGTTGTGGAGAAAATTCTGTCCCTCAAAAACCCTAATCCAAGGATGCTTGGGAATGGTCTGCGAAGTTCTACAGCATGATCATGGGACTTCGATTAGCAAAGGCTCTACGAACGTGATTGAAGTTTCCGAAACCTCAAAGACGAATGAGTAAGCCTCATAAAAAAGCTCGACACAACGCTCTCATCCTACGAACAACTCGTTGGCTGCAGCATTACCCAATCTCCCTCTCTATGAGAGCAAGGTTTCAAATATATCAGCTTGAGGAGAGAGCGAGAACTTTCAATATTCCCTGAGTTTAGGTGTGAAAGGTATAAAATGATTTAAATCCTTGGCGTTGATCGAACCCGTTTTTCGGGTGATCCCACGCACTCGACTTCCACTCGGAAACCTAGTGGCGATTTGAATGCGTATGTGGCATATACAATGAAATGTGGTGCCCGACCGATGGACGAGCCAGTACTTTTATCCTCCCAGACGGGGTCTGGTGTCCTGCAGCTTTCATCCGTCATACTTGAAACGACATGTTTCTCTGGTTCAGTAGGAAAAGAAAAACATTGGTACGTTGAAATGGTCAGGTCGGCAGCCTCAGTATGGCCTTTTTCATTGCCTTACTATGAGAGCACTTCGGACTAGAAGACAGACGATAGCTCTTACTGACAAATGCTTCTTGATGGGCCCATTCCTTGCTGTTTTTTATGCATATTCGATCAGAAATCACACCAAATTGATGAACCTTGGCCGATCCAGTTGTCGCACGCCCGAATATATTGAGTGAAAGTGGGAAAGGTCATTTTCAACAGGCCAGTTCCTTTGTGGGAGCGTAGATTTCTGTGAAAAGGCCGTCATCTCGCGCAATTAATTACGTGTGGTCATCCACGTGACTGAATTTTTTTTGGATACGAACTTTCTGCTCCTCATACAGGGTCTATGTTGACAAAAGCCTCATCCTCATACCTGCATCTGGGATGAGATCACCTATTTAGTTGCCTCAGAGCCTAATTTTTCTAGAGAATCCTAGTTCGGACAGAAATGGAGAACGATCATCAAAGAAATTACGTGAGTGCCGTGGAGAAAACATGAAAAGGATAAGCTGTTTGGGTGTAATCAACACCCTTTTTAGGTGGGCCTCACATTCCACTCCAACTCATAGTTGTACCGGCTTTGGATGCGTATGTGGCCTATATAATGACTTGCAGCGGCTAGCCGATCTTCAGGTCGGTACTTTTATAGTCCCAGACAGGTCTCATACCAAACAACTGACCACGGAAGGATGGGAGGCTTGATGGCTTGGGCGAGTACCGATAAGGGGCTCGATCCTGATAGTGCGCCACTAAACCACGCCGTGTGAAATAAACGAGCTCTAGAATAGTCGACAAAAAAGCTCTCAATGAAGAAAGTAAATATTTAAGTGAAGAAATTCGAATGTCTTTCATCACAACGATATCTACAGTCACCTCTTCCCTCTACCGCCCATTTTTTCTACTGCTCTAACGGCTGAAGATGCCGTAGATAGAATGATGTGGAGACGGCTGACAAGAATAGCGGACCCTACGACAGCGCCCGCTATTGAGAAAAAGTCTGTAGCAACGTATTCATCCACCCCTTCAATACTCTGCGGTAGCTCTTTCATTGATATCGGTGCTTCCGCAAAGCAAAAATGCCCAGCCGAACAAGAGGCGGACAGCTACTTGCCGTGCAATGAATCCTTGAATGTGACAAAAACATTTCAGGAACTGTGAAAATGAATACCGAATGTCATGCCGAAATTCCGGCTCGCCAAACACCATTCAGGTAACTCAGAAACTCGTCTTCTCGATCACAGGTTACAGCCTATCTGTAGCGTTTGTAGAATCGGCATTCGAGCTTATGACATGGCGACCACTGAGGGATCGTTTATCATGCTCGATAATATCATATACAGAGCTTCACTTTGCAAGGTTGCAAGTATGTTGTTCATTACTAAGTTCTACTGAGAAGGAATATTCCAAATTGCCATCATACTGCAGTTGACATGGGCGATGGCTTCAAATCATCTCCACTGGTATCAGCAGCAGCAGGAAAGCCAATTCGATCAGCGTCAGACCTTGACTGTAAAGATTTTGAGTCATGCCGATGGAGAGGCGGCCCAGAGAATTCCAAGGTATTGCGCCCTGCTTTGAATACACTATGGTTTTATTGAAAAGGAATTCGTTCAGCCCTGGAGAATGTCTTCTTCATCGCTTCCCCTTGATTTACTGTTCAACATGACAGGCAGCTACATTGAGCCGGAAGGGAGATATGCTCTGCTATACATTGAGCAGGACACCAAGGTAAGTAAAGGTTGGTTCCACGGAACGACAACTTCCTGAACCTTTTCTTCAGGGACCGCTTGATTACCTACGATCAGATCCTATCAACTGCCAAAGTCAGACGGAAAACACACTTTCGTTGAGGTACTGTACAAGTAGTACTGAATTATTTAACTGATGAAGGTCTGCTCATTGTCAGATTCTGGAAAACGAGAGATGTCGAACTGGAGGCCTGCGCGATGTCATTGATGGGAGAAGAAATCGAGTGCTACGCGTTACCATCCGAAATGAGCCCAGCTCCAGTGTCTGTATCGTTTATCAAAGCTGCAAAGAACTTCGAGGTACTGTAGTCCGTCCTCTCCCCTAACGTTGAATGGCCTAAATGAGGGGATTTCAGATCACCATCCGAGTACGGTCCTTCAATCCGGATTTCGATTCACTGGTGATCATTGATGATATTTCCTACCGTGCGACACTTTGCAGCGATGCTTTGAGTGTATTCGATCTCGGTGAACACTTCCTTAGCACTCCGATGCTCAGTCTACTCCTCAACAGGAATGTCGACTCAGCGAAGGTGAGAAAGCGTTCTGCTGCCAGATGTTACTCGTAAATGATCCGAGTAGGCAGTGTAGAGAAGTCCGAGTGGGAATCTCTGATGAGTCGTTTCATTGGGGATTGTTTAATTGAGATTTCACCAATGGTGATCGATAAAAGCCTAATTTAGAGTTGTAGATGTTACATGAAGGTAAAGAGTGGGGTAGAATACTGGAAGAACTTTCCCTCCGTCTACTTATTGTTACCACACAATGAAAACCCCGCGCCGCTAGGCTGTACTCTCTTCACTTCCGATCGACTGTTTCAATGACCTGGTAATAGGTAAAGTCTTCATCTATATGGTTCATCCCGCGTGCTATACGAAGTCATTGCTGGCTTGACCCCACCAGCCATGCTTCAATCGAAGGTGTCAGAATTATCAAGAGTAAAAGACGGAGCATTTTGCCGTTGAGAAGTTTCGTTCCTGGAATACGCCCCGCGTTCTACTTCCATTCACAGTCGCAGTGGCGTTTTGAATGCGTGTTGGTTCTATACCCTATAACTTGGGCGACCGCCCATGACCAAGTGCTTTCTCTCCCTAGAGAGTCCGGTACCTAACAACCGTCCCCTAATGAATGAAAGACATGGGTGGGCTTGGCGTAATCCTAGAATCGGTTCCAGAATGATGTTTGTGTGATAGTGCGCCACCTGCTTCTGCGCCACCTTCACCGTGTAGGAAATATACATACAGGCATATATGAAGTATCACACTTTCTGAAGTAGAAGGATGCATAACATTCGCGAGACCAGAGACGCGGTGAATCTTACGAAGGTGAAGGATTCAGAGTAAGCAAACGACCTTTTCCTATGGAAAAGATCGGATTTGCAGCTGTTGGAATAACGATAACAGCAGTAGCTAGCACAGGACGATGAGCTTAATGTGAGGTGACAGCCATAAATGGGAGCGAACGCCTACTTCGTCTTGTTTTTCTCATACACCTATCATAGTTAGCTATACATTACTAACCTACAAAAGAATGACACTAGGTTAAGGATAGGGAGGCAGGGAAGGTGTAGGAAGGATGTGGGGCAGTGATAAGTGGCGCCCTACTACCCACGTGCTTCAATAATCGAATCCCAGATCAGTACTCCCCCTTGACCAAGCTTTCTTTGCTTCCGAGGTTGGTTAATTGGTGCCAGCTTTCTATGAGAGAGAGGAAGCACGGCCTTGCACATCTCCTGATCTCCGCGTCCACTGTACGGGCAATTTAAACGCCTCTAGTATGCTTAATGGAAATCGAATGGGTGAGCGAATGGGATTGACCAGGAGAATGGGATTGGCGCTGGAGAAATAAAACGAAAAGTTAAGGCAGTCTCACAATCTTTTTCGGTAGAAGGCAGTAAATTGTTAGGGAATAGCACTGAGTAAACCTACTTGACGACCTATAAAAACAAAATTTCATAAGCTCTAGTTTTAGGAGCTTGCTTGCGACTTTTCTCGACGAGCGGCAAACTGTGTCTGGGGCTCAACAGAGTCCACGACTGGCAACGAGGACACAGAAATTGCTCAGAACCAGTGGATGGTCGGTCATGGTCCGCTTAACCAGGAGAAATTCTATTCTCTTACTGGTCACAACGATTTGCCAGGTACGAAAATCTATAGGATCTTAAGCGAAGAGATGGAAGCAGTTGTTCTCATCGGCTTCATTCGCCTACAACAGTAAGGCTGAAGGTTCTCCAGCAACAAGATCATTAGCTAGCGAAAATAGGCTACGAACCGTAAAAACGAGGGTTCGATTGAAAAAGCATCATTTCAGATGGCGAATTCGCAGTGGCTCGAATGGAAACTGGCGGTTCTACCATGCTACTTTCCGAAGTGATCCGATGTGTCGTGAATGACGTCAGCATCCAGTTCAATTTATGGCTCACCGGAACTGCCAAATTGCAGGTGATATACGTAGATCTCAAAGCTGTCANGACGAATCGACGCCATCTCTTCTGGACTGCCAACCGGCTGCATCCGGTCCAGTGGTCGTCGACCTGCCTCGGATTGAAAGGCCGTTCAGAATCGCTCTCCGAGCAGAGTCTCCTGATCAAGGAATGGTCATTGTAGACGATATAAGTGTACAGGTAAGAGGACTGAATGTGAGAAGGCAACAAACTTTTCATCCAAATCCTCCTATCAAACAGACAAGTAGCTGGGCAACAACGCATACGTTTAGCTGAAGCGAAATTCGAAAAAATTAAGAGCTCTCAATGACTCAGTGCTCTTCCGGTCGAAACAGAACTGAAACTAGATGGAACTGAAGCTTGTTGACAAATTTTTGGATAAAAAAGTGACCCAGTGGCCTTTCGCTGCAAAGTATTTCGAAGTTTTCCGGAATTGTCTGAAAGTACTTCAAACTGCTGACAATACCTCTGTGCGCTTTCCTATGCGCTTCCGAAGTGACACCGAATTCCGTTCTTTGGGTGCTTTAAAACATCGGCTTACCCAGAAACCTCTTAACACCATAACAGTTTCTTCGGAATAGCGAAATTTCTTTTCCCTGTTGGCCCTGAACCCCGAGGGGGAAGGGGAACATCCTTGAAAAGCTCCAATTCTTACAACTGTGAACTTTTATTGAAAATTTATGGCGTATAGTGGTCTAATTTTCAGAAACTATCAATGACTGAGCAAACAACACTAATGGTACATATTCAATACTGGAAAATCAAATGCCTTTCAGGAGAGCTGAAAGTGCGCTTCATAATGGGGTATTCTGCTCACCCAGCCCTGCACCTAAGAAAAACAACTCAGCGTTCATTTTTGTGCATAGCCCCTATCACAAGAAAACAGCTAGTTTTGAGGACTTTATACGACTCAAAAGTCTAAAATTTCCATGAGTTAACCTAAGGGTAACTGTGACTGATAACTGCTGTCACATGATTGCTGCTGCCAACTGTGCTTTCACCTCATTTGCCTTCTAACGTACCCCGCCTGCCCGTCCCTGTGGCTTGCATACCCAAAAGACGTTAGATACATTTTTCGTGGCCAACTAATGTAACATGAGGCAGATTACGATTGAGGCTATATAGCTTCTTTTTCTCCTTTGTCCGTCCCCCTTGTTGCCTTTTAACACTAACTTATCCTTAAAGGCACCGTTCACATAATTTCGGGTAACCCAGATTATGATGAAAAATGGAAGACAAGATCGAAACTAGTGCGACTAAGGTGAAGAAACTGCGTGCATCGGTGTTTCCAAAGTGAAAAGAGGCTTCGAAAAACCGTTAAAAAGGGGGCTGGACGAGAATGAAGCCAGAAAAATGAAGAAGAGTGGGGCGTCCGGACGAGCTTAGCAGTGTATTTCGCTGCGCGCGTGTGGGTCCTGGTGCGAATAAGAGACAATGGTAAGCAAAAATTCATTCACTTATAAGCATAAATAAACAAATAGCCTTAGTAACAGCAAAAGTAGCTCAGCTTTTTGAGCCTCTAGGAGTAGGAAATTGAATAAGGGATCGCGGCAGCAAAAAGAAAAATAGAGGAAAAAAGAATGAGAG